CAGGAAGGAGGTAGTGGTTATGTTGAACTGTTTAAATGTTAGTAAGACTCTGGTAGTTTAAGCTAGTGGTTAAAAACTACCAGGATTATCCTTCCTTGGGAAGGGAGAATGAATTGCCAAAAAACATCAGAGAGAAAGAAGATGCTTTTGGTAGGCATGAATGAAGTGTTTGTGTAGAGGGCCCAGCCTTAGCTGAGAAAGAAGTGCTGTATGACCACACTACAGACATCATTGTTGCATGGTTTAATTTACTTCAACTTGGAGTCATAGGCTCAACATGCCTTTATATACTCAGCTGCACAGGACATTCTCTTCAATTTTGTGGAAAAATCATGTCAACAGTTTCCTGAATTTTTGTTTCTTCTCTCCAAGATTATTACAGTCCTGCAATGTTGGGCCTGAAAACTGATCAGGAAGTCCTGGGAGAACTTGTGAAAATGAAAGTTCCAGCTGTGGCAGAGCTGATGGAAAGACACGGAGTCATGTGGACCCTAGTGGTGTCACGCTGGTTTATATGCTTGTTCATTGACATTCTTCCAGTTGAGGTAGTTGATAACAACATTCTCTTAATATACTCATAATCATTGTTTTATTTGTAATGCTTTAGTAACAACTACCTGCTGGAAATCAAGAAGCTGTAATCCAAATTCTCTCCTTTCCTGCAGACTGTGCTCCGAATATGGGACTGTTTGTTCTATGAAGGGTCAAAGATCATCTTTCGTGTGGCCTTAACATTAATTAAGCAACACCAAGCTTTTATTTTGGAAGCCACAAATTTCCCTGACATTTGTGATAAATTTAAGCAGATCACCAAAGGAACGTTTGTAACGGAGTGTCACAGCTTCATGCAGGTAAGTTCTCTGCAGCTTTGAGTTGTTACGCATTAAAAAACAGACTTTTGCTCAGTCAAAAAAAGATGGATCCAGGTAGCAGAAATGTATCTGTAGGAATTGCCAAAAGGATGAAGAATGGTTTTATATAAGAAATGGAACCTTTTAAAGAAATTTGGGGTTTTTTTAAAGAAGTCTTACTTAAACCCATATATAGTAAACCATTCACACTATCTGTTGTACAGGGGAAAAAAAAACCCTGGTAGAAAGGGCAAAAAGAGTAAAGGCAGGAAGTCTGATGAGAAAATAACTTTAGTGCATTCTTTCAAATGAACTATGGATTGTGTTCCTGTGCTTTTCAGATTAATTGTAATAGAATATTATAGAAGAGACACACAGTTAATTTTAAACTTGCACTGATAAATCTTCATAGTGCCAGAATGTAAAGCATTCTGTTTAGAAAAAGGTAGCACCAAGTTCTTACTTCCAGACAAAAAAAACCCCATGAAGTCAAGTGCTCAAGTCTTATGATAATCTGCAAACTGAGAATTATTCTTGTAAATTATTGGTAGATTGGATGCCAGAGCTGTATAGAACATTAGATTCAGAGCTTAACTCAGAAGACAGAAATGTAAAAGATTTGGTTTTTTTCAACTAACAACAAAAAAACCAGGAGCACATCTGTCAGCCAAGTGATTTATAACTCTGCTATCATTGTTTGCAAAGTGTGCGCAGAACTGCAACCCAGTAAGAGACCTTTACCCCTGAAAGAGTTTCATGCTCATGTCAGAGCTCTGTCATAGTAAGATGTCATTCATGTTACATTTCACTTTTGCTCATATAGAATAAAAATAAGCTTAACTTAGTGTTTGTGAGCCTTTTAAATAAAAGAGCAAAAGAAAAATAAATCACAGGTACAGCTTAATGTAGAAGGGAGATGTTTGAGGGGTTTCCATCCCATAAAGGCTTTAGAGTAACAGTTTTGTTACGTGCTAACTGCCCTGGGAATACCAGTTCAGAGGCTACTACAAACACTTGTCCTTGAAGGACATCCCCCCC